ACATACCTGAAGAAACCCTTCTTGTTACTCTTGACATCTCTCGCTCGCTGCAGCTCCAGGTGCGATTTGGCCCTCCTGATTTCATTCCTACATGCCCGAGCAATATTTTTATACTCTTCCCTGGTCATATGTCCAACCTTCCACTTCTTGTAAGCTTCTTTTTTATGTTTAAGATCCTCTAGGATTTCACCGTTAAGCCAAGCTGGTCGCCTGCCATATTTACTATTCTTTCGACACATCGGGATGGTTTGTCCCTGTAACCTCAACAGGGATTCCTTGAAATACAGCCAGCTCTCCTGGACTCCTTTCCCCTTCATGTTAGTCCCCCAGGGGATCCTACCCATCCGTTCCCTGAGGGAGTCGAAGTCTGCTTTCCTGAAGTCCAGGGTCCGTATCCTGCTGCTTACCTTTCTTCCCTGTGTCAGAATCCTGAACTCAACCAACTCATGGTCACTGCCTCCCAGATTCCCATCCACTTTTGCTTCCCCTACTAATTCTTCCTGGTTTGTGAGCAGCAGGTCAAGAAAAGCTCCCCCCGTAGTTGGCTCCTCTAGCACTTGCGCCAGGAAATTGTCCCCTACGCTTTCCAAAAACTTCCTGGATTGTCTATGCACCGCTGTATTGCTCTCCCAGCAGATATCAGGAAAATTAAAGTCACCCATGAGAACCAGGGCATGCGATCTAGTAGCTTCTGCGAGCTGCCGGAAGAAAGCCTCATCTGTTTGTTTCCCTTAAGACTGTTTGTTTGCTCTGCCTGGCCTGAGGGGCCTAGGCAGTATTATTGCTTGACCCTACCCTGGCACTGGAGCGTGGCCTCCCACTGAGCCAGAGGGGGAGGGACAACTGTTAACCCACTGCACCCAGCATAAACCTGATCCTGTCACACTGCACTTCAGTGATATTATATGATTATGGCAATTATAAATGTATTTCATGCAAGATAAGTTATGTGGTGTCACTGAAAGGGTTATAATTTGCTGAATATGATTATCCTATGTGTATGCAAGTATCATTTTTGTATCTGAAGTTATGAATATTGACTATGTATCTGTATTTCAAATGTAGATAGACCTGGGGAACGCCCACTAGACAATATGCTTTCAGTGTAGACAATGAATGGGGAAGGGCCTATTTAGGACAATGGGCCATTAGGGAAAAAAAACCGATCTCCCATCTGGTGAGCCTTCCCGTGAAGGCTCCAAACAGCCTGTGAGTGACGGCTGCTACAACTCTACAGCGACATGTGAGGAGACCACGTCTGCAGACTGGTCTGGGAACAAAGGGTTCATGCCATATGCAAAAAGCTATAGAAGGCAGGGAGTGATATCCTCTGGTGGTGTTCTTTGCTCACCAAACAAGAAGACTCCTGAAAATCTCCTGAGGAACAAACACTGAACTGGGGAAAGTGCTGGACCCAGGCTAAAGGGATTTTTAGCCTGCGAAACGAAACACTTGGGGATTCCAAGCTGTAAAGCAAGTGCAGCTTGCCCCTTAAGAATCTGCAGCCTGCTTGTATCATCTCTTTGGATATGAATAGCAGATTCTCACCCTATCTATTTAGTATATTAAGCTTAGTTTGCGTTTTTTGTTTATTTGCTAGGTAATCTGCTTTGATCTGTTTGCTATCACTTATAAGCACTTAATCTATCTTTTGGGTTTTTGCTTCATCTGAAGCAGTGTGAGAATCATATCTCTGGGCAAAAGGCTGTTGCATATTCCTCTCCACATTGAAGGAAGGGGCAAATTTTATGAGCTTATGCCGTACAGTTCCCTGTCCAGCACAAGATGGTATAATTTTGGGTTTATACTCCAGAGAGGGTGCATGCCTGAGGAGCAGGGAGTAGACTGCCCATGCAGAGGCTGGTCAGAGAGCCTGCTTGTAACTGCAGCTGGGTGTGCCCCTACTTGTATGTATGCTGGTGAAAGTGCAGGCTGGAAGGCTTTGTAGCTTGTAACAGTAGTACAGTGTGAGAGGGAACCCAGGCTGGTGGCTCATGGAGCTCAGCAGTACCCCAGTTCTGGGTGGCAATCTGGGGGGATCCTCTCACACATCCATCCTTCAAATATTTTTTTCCCTCTATGGAAGGTAGACCAAGAGAACACAATGTGAAGCGTAAGACAGCAAGAGGGATACCCACAGGCTTTAAGGCCAACTACAGTAGCAGAGTCTCGTCAAAAAGACACTAGTCAGTAACTAAAGACAGGAAACAAGTCCTACACACACGTCTCCCCCCCCCAAGCATTTAACAAGTTGGACCTGTCAAGTCCAAGTTTTTTGCTTTTGATACTTGAACACCAGACAGTATGATACACTTTCATATTCTGGCACCAAAGCTTTCAGTTTCCAGTTCTTTTAGTAGTACCCAAAAGAGGCCTGAGCTACCATCACCATGACTCCTTTCTCATATCAGTATGAGATGGTGTGGTATATGTCACTATATCCAGACTCTCAGGGTAACAATCACTACAAAAGTGCTAAATGAGAACAGTGCATTTTGATACTAGTATTTGAAAAAGCTGGTCAAGCCCTGCAAGCCTGCTCTGAAAATCTAGTGGCTAATCTTGAGTTAGGTGAGCAGGTTGCCTCTCAGAGGTTTCTTCAGCCTTTATATGGGCCTGGATATGAGCAACCACTGGTACCTTAAAGCATCTTCCACTCCACTGCTGGAGTTGCAACTGGAAGATTTTGTTATTTCTTTAGACGCACAGGAGTAGCCTTTTGCTGAGCACATAGTGAAAGTGAGGAAATAAACACTAAATAAGTAGTTAACAAGAGTGCAACTGTTCAAAAGCAACCCATCAGTTGTACCTGGCAGCGGGGAAATTTGGATGGAGGGTTTTTTCCTCCTTCTGTAGGGAGGTTTTAGAGATTCCTGTCGCATCCAAGCGGAGAACCATGTCACACTAAGACCTCTTTAGCTACACAAATGTTAACTAAAGTTAAGATACAGGAGGTGATCTTAAAAGTTAGATACCCAGGGGACAGGTGCCTTAAAAACACTCACAAGATCAAAGATTACTTTATTGCAGTGTTGATTTTACTGCAGAACTGTGGTTTTTTCCTATACTTAGAAGGAAATATGACAGTGTGGTGTTTATAGGACAGGAAGCAAGGTAAAATATCTCCTTTTCTGGCCACCACTGCATGCATAAATTTGCAAACAAGTAACATTAACATAAATAAGACACGTTCCTCCACTCACTGGCATACAAATAGGAGTGACCTTGCTAGGATATCCTTACACATTTTCGTTCGCTAGAATGGACACACCGTTTCGGTGGTTCTGTAGTTGGCTGTGTGCTGGTGCAGTTTGTTTCTGCATTTGAAGAGGTTACTCATATTTTCAAGGATCTTTTGCCCTCCAACACGTCACAAACTAAACCCTGGTATGGATTTTACGACCTCTCAAGACATTGATACTGCACATGGGAATAGCAGATCCTGCCTAAGCAAGGCCGTTTTCAACAAAGGCCACAAATGCATGGTGATATTGGCTTAAATTTTTTGGCTGCTGGGGAACACTTTCAGATTAGTAGGACACTTCCCTGGACATGGTGTTTACAATCAAAAGTTGATGTTCTCAGAACAAGTTCAATAAACTGTGAACTAGGACATCATGGTTGTTTCAAATCTTTATCAACAGGAACTGGGGAAGAAGATTTAAAAAGAAATGAAAGGCACAGATAATGCTTAGAACTAGTTCAAAGAACCATTTTATTCCTCTTTCAGTAAATGTGTGGTGTACCAGAACTGAGCATGGATAGACTCCATAGGCCTCATTTACACAGTCAGAATTGCAAGGCAACAGATGGCTCCTTTCCTGCTCATATTCCATTAGACCTTCTGGGGACAGACGGGTGCTAAACACACTCCTGTGTCTGACCCAGAACTGTTGGCTGTACTTCACATGGTGTGCAATTTAGGCCATCATACTAAAAGTTACATCTACCATGGGTGTCTGCTCAATAATTCTTGTGTGGTCTTCACCCTGCATATTTCCCAGCTCCTCAAACTCAATCTGCGTAATCTAGACACTGGATTTGCAATGAGAACTCAGAGAAGTTGGTATTACTGTGGCAAAAAAAGAGGGAAAGACCACTCTAGCAACTCAATCATCTGTTTTAAACAATGGGCTTTCTGTCTAACGGCTCATGCTGAAGTGCTTTACAAATATGTATACAAAAATAACTTTTCCTACCAAATAAATGCAGCTAACCTTGAGTGTAAGATGGTAGCTGTGTAGCAGCTCACAGCAACACTACAGAAGAGATTAGGAATGGAAGGAAGATACTGTAAGTAAAATTTTGGGGGAATTTAGGTAAAAAGATGTAATTACTCAAATTGAAATTTGGTAGGACACCAATGCTAACACCCCAACTCTCGGTTTAAATGCCATGAAAGACTCTGGAAGAAAACGATGCCCTTCCCCAACTAGGGTAAAAATACGACAAATCGCTACTCTCTAAAGAATGAGCCATATCTCATTTGCAAAGCATGATACCATCTTTCTCTTCCACTTCATATCCCATGTGACAGTCCTGCTGTTCCTGACACGGCCGTGAGTCCCCTCTTTCCCAAAGCAGCAATCCACTCGTAGTTTCTCTATTCAACCCCTCCCCTGCACAGACACTTTCTTGGGTGTCTTCACCAGAGTGTCCAATCCCTACGGTTTGTGTAACCTCTTCCATCTAGGCTAATGCCTAACATACTGCGTAGAAACAAATGAAATATCTGCTAATTGAACCCAGCAGACTCCTAGACACTAAATTATAGAGGTTTCAGAGTAACAGCCGTGTTAGTCTGTATTCGCAAAAAGAAAAGGAGTACTTGTGGCACCTTAGAGACTAACCAATTTATTTGAGCATGAGCTTGGTGCCACTAGTATCCGATGAAGTGAGCTGTCGCTCACGAAAGCTCATGCTCAAATAAATTGGTTAGTCTCTAAGGTGCCACTAGTACTCTTTAAATTATAGAGGGGGAATAAACAATTGCTTCTTACCTTAGAGCCTTCAATGTTACGATCACACTGCAGGTTTTTGGAGGGGTTGGGGGAGAAAAGAGAAGAGAAAAGATTACAAACATTGTAACTTTGCTTTTTGGAAGGAAGTTTTCAACCATGGCAGAAGAATCAGCAGGCACCCAACCAGCACCTGCACAGCTGCCTGGAACATTTCAACTCCAGCTCCTAGCTGTGACCAGCAGCAGATCCTTAAGAGCAGCGGGACCATCAGTGCCCGAACTGAGGCCACTGCCGCCTGAACAGGGTCCCCGCCCCTGCGCCACCCCTTCCCTAGAGGCTCCACCCCACACTGACTCTTCCCCCCTGAGACCCCGCCTCCCACTCCTGCCTCTTCACTCCCTTCCCCCCTCATTGCTCACCCTTACGGCCAGTAAAAAGTGGGAGGACATAGCCCTCCTACTTTTAAAAGTGATGGGTCCATCCCCCATTCTGGTACCCCTGCCTGTGACCAAGACCTTGACATCTGAAAGGCACTGGCTTTACAGCAAGTTTACTCACAAAGCATGTAGAACGCAAGGGTCCACAGCATCAGCTGTCTCACATCATCAATCCCTGAGCCACAAGGCAAGGAGGAGTTTAGACCCCCCCCGCAGAGTCAGCTTCCCAAAGGAATTTCTTTAAGGGACTGCAATTGGGTGAGCTCCCACATTGGCCCTGCAGGAGCTGAACTTGGTAAGGTGCAGGGGGTTAATCAGCTAATTCAGCTGCAAACAGGGGAGCTTTAGGCTACAGGCAGTTAATTAGAGGCTCATATGTGAAGAAACAGGTGTGGCCTGTAAAGCCAGGTAGTGGGCTCCAAACTGGGTGGCTAGGAAAGGCTGCAGGAAGGTAGGCAGCAGTCATTCCTGGGGAGGGGATTCTTGGAGCTGGAACACCCAGAGAGAGAAGGGGAGCCAGACAGGTAGGAAGCAGTCCAGGGAAGGAGCAGTGAGGGGAGAGAAAGGAGCCCAGAACTGTTGAGCCAAGAGTCCCTGGACTGGAACCCGGAGAAGATGGCAAGTCCTGAGTTCCCCTACCGGCCTCCGAGGGCATGGCCCAGAACTGAGGTAGTGAACAGCAGATTGCCTAGCACTGTTGATGGACTGAACCTTGGAAGGGGGAATGCTGAGTGACCTAGCTGGAGGACTAAATCACAAAGGAGCTGCTGTGGGTCCTGGAGCAAGAGGAGCTGCAGACCAGAGTCAGAGTGATGGTGTGCAACCATGACCAGGAATGTCAATCTCGAGCTAACCCCACAGTGACCAGGGGGAGGTGTCAGCCCAGCAGTGAGAGGTGCGCCCTGTGACAGGGACATTGACTAAATTGCAATCAGAAGAAGCCTCTTGATAGGGGAGATTTGTTTAGATTTTAATATACAGCCTCCATTTCAGCATGTGTTTGGGGGTTTGTTTGGTTTTTTTGGGTGGAGGTACACAGCAACTCCACATTTAGGAGGACAGATCTTGATGTAGTTGTCTGCTGGATTACCCAGAGGGGGCATGCACACTGTTCCCTCTGGGTTTGTCACACCCAGCTGTTCCTTACCGGGTGAACCTCTCCTATGAAGTACTGTTTGAGCATTTCCCTGGCATCCGTGGAGTGTCCAACATCTTCAAAGCTCTCTGTGGCATCCCTACCAGCCTGTTCCAGCAAAACCTCCTCTCCACCTGGATGCTGGAAAAGAAGGAATTCAGTGAGCCCAGGGCTGAGGGATAAAAAGCAATGAGAAGAATTCCAGTCCCCTTCCCAAATGCTCTGGTAATGTCCTGGGCCCAACAATGCAAATGTACTCCAACTTTTTCAGTTCATCACAGCCCCTGCAGAACAGCTCAAGAGAACCCCACTGAAGGTCCAAGTCTGCAGCCTCCCCTTCAGGCAGTCATGAGTAATGAGAGAGCACTGCAGGGTCTGGCAAGCACCTGGAATCCAGCCTTACCTGCTTTACAGACAGCAAAAATCCCTCCACCAACAAGAAGCAATTCCTCAACATCCACAAGGAACCCCTGACTCAGCCCTCTCGGTCACATCTGCTCTGCAGTCCCTAAGGTTCATAGCCAAGACAGGCTGGTCTGACTCCTGATGCACCTATACATATTCTTGTGCAGAAGCACAACATAGGATATGAGCAGGAGTTCACCTCTAGAGAAGCCATAAGTGCAAGCAACACAGGAGCCCTGAACTGCAGACCATAAGGCGCTGAGTATACTCCATCAGTGACAGTGACTATTTAGGCACAACAGAGAACGTGCCTCTTCGTGGCTCTTGAACAGAGCATGCTGGGTAGGCCAGGCACTCTTGCTTGCAGAGAGCTCTTTCCTGCTGTGTGCTTTCCCCTTTCCTTCTATGTATGAACCATTCTTATTTCTTCTTCACCTGCTGGAATAAAGGCTGCTAGGGAAGGGCTCATAGATGCTCATTCTAGGATGCTCCTCTCCTAGATTGCAGTGGAGGCAACATTGCTATTCCATTTCCCCAGGGTGCTGCAATAAGAGGATCTCTGTCTGCTTTAGTTAATCTTTCCACTTACAGTAACAATAGAGAGAGGGCCAAGCTTGCCAATGGTATAAGCTGACAACTCTAGTGACCCTCCTTGAAGCAGCCTCTGATTCACCAGCATTGCATTTGGCCCCCTCTGAGATCCAGCCAGGGCCAAACACTCAGCAGCCAGGGGTAGTGAAGGTCCTAAAGAGAAGTTTTACTGTTTGCACTTTGACTGATTTAAAAATTCATCTCTGAAGTGTCTAAATCACTGAAATTAGTCTCCTTCCCCCTCAAGGCTGCATTCCTCCATAGAACCTGTATCTAACTTGTGTATAAAACACCACAGGCTATAGAAGATACCTGTTCACCCTTGAAAAGCTGTAATCAACAACAGAATGATAGCTGTGCACAGACCTACTGTCAGGGTTCCTTCCACACTCTGAACTCTGGGGTACAGATGTGGGGACCCACATGAAAGATCCCCTAAGCTTATTCTTACCAGCTTAGGTTAAAACTTCCCCAAGGCACAGATTTCTTTCTTGCCTTGGGATCGCTGCCACCACTAAGTAATTTAACAAACAATCAGGGAAAGGACCACTTGGAGTCCTAATTCCCCCAAAATATTCCCCCAAGCCTATATACCCCCTTTCCTGGGGGGGGCTTGAAAAGAATATCCTAACCAATTGGTTACAAAATGATCAAAGACCCAAACCCCTGGGTCTTGGAACAATGGAAAAATCAGTCAGGTTCTTAAAAAGAAGGATTTTATTTAAAGAGAAAAAGGTAAAAGAATCACCTCTGTAAAGTTAGGCTGGTAGTTAACCTTACAGAGTAGCAGAAAATTCAAAGAGCACAGAGGAACCCGCTCTAACCCTAGTTTCAAAGTTACAACAAAACAGGGATAAACCTCCCTCTAGCAAAGGGAAAACTCACAAGTTGAGAAAAAGAAACTAATACACCTTGCCTGGCTGTTACTTACAAGTTTGAAATATGAGAGACTTGTTCAGAAAGATTTGGAGAACATGGATTGATGTCCGGTCCCTCTTAGTCCCAAGAGCAAAGGAACACAGAAACAAAGCCTCTCCCCCCCGCCCGCCCCAAGATTTGAAAGTAGCTTTTGTCCCCATTAGTTCCTTTGGTCAGATGCCAACCAGGTTACTTGAGCTTCTTAACCTCTTACAGGTAAGGAGGAATTTAGGCTACCCCTATGGTTATGACACCTACCCTGAGTCAGAGTTCAGAGCGGGTGTTGCATATGAACATGCTTCTGTAAGGAGCTGGGAAGAACCATGGGGAGTGTTCTCCACCCAAGCTAAGCCTTCCGAGGGTGAGGGCAGAGGTTAAGTGTCACTTTCATGATGAACACCACAGGCCTTTCCCATTGGCAGGTTTCACACCGCCAGCCTACTACCTCCAAAGTGAGACACAAGAGCGTGCAGAGATAGTGGATGCAGGTGGGCAGTACAGGAAGAAATGACAGATAGGAAAAGCATGATTAAATCCCTTAGGAACTGGATTTTTCCTGCCTCTGGTTTTGTTACAGAGAGCAAGAATGCAGGAAAGAAGATGGAAAGATGCTTACTGAAACCGAACAGCCTTGCCCAAGGCAGAGAACATGCATCACTAAGAAATTAGATGCATTCTGCCATGACAGCCAAAGCATGAAGTGCACCTCATCTTTCCACTCTGCATTTAAGGGAGTTGTGCCCGAAAACTAGCCAAAGTGATTCATCTAAAGCTGTAGATCTTCAAGGGTAGTTTTCAGGGCTTGAAAAATTTACCCAACACCTATTAAGCAGAAGTCCATTAGCCAGGAACTAATAACTTAAACACTGTGCACTGTAAGTTGCTATTCAACGTAAGGGTAGCAGCCTAGGGCCCTTTCAATTTTTGCCTCAACATTTAGTCCTCCTGTGTCCTTAAGAGTCTGAAAGGCTAGAACATTCCGCTGTCTAGTGATGAGAGCCCATGAAGAAAGAAGTTCGCATACGCAGGCACTCAGACCAATCCAGGCAGCACAACGGTTCTCAACTTTGCCTACGCCAGGACCCCTGCTCTTAGTTGGCATTTTGGAAAAGGTGGTTGAAACACTTGCCATGACCCCATGTTGTGAACCCCTATGCTAGACTCAGGATTCTGATTAATACTGCTCTTCTCAGTGTAAAGTCCACACTTCCCAGAGAGAAGACGACTTGTCCCAACCCCTTATTCTCGTGTTATGTGAAGGGATAAACAACACTTCCTTATTCACTTTCTCCACACTGTTCATAATTTTACAGACCTCTGTCTTATCCCCCCTCAGCTCTTTCCCAAACTGAACAGCCCCAGTCTTTTTAATCTTTCCTCATATAGAAGCTGTTCCATCCCCCTCATCATTTTTGGTTCCCTTCTCTGTACATTTTTTTTTTTTTTTTTTTAGATGCGGTGACCAGAACTGCATATAGTTTCCAATGTGTGGGCACACCATGGATTTATGTCGTGGCGTTATCGTTTCTCTTGTATTTTTCCCTTTCCTAATGGTTCCTAACTTTTTTTTTTTTTTTAAAACTGGCGCAGCACAGGGAGCAGATGTTGTCAGAGAACTAGCTACGGTGACGCCAAGAGTTCTTTCCTGAGGGGTAACAGCTCATTTAGACCCCATCGTTTTGTATGTATACTGGGGATGATGTTTTCCAATGTGCATTACTTTGCATTTATCAACACTGAATTTGATCTGCCATTTTCTTGCCCCATAACCCAGTTTTGTGAGATCCCTTTGTAACTCTTCACAGTCTGCTTTGGACTTAACTGTCTTGAGTAATTTTGTATCATCTGCAAACTTTGCCACCTCGCTGTTTCACCTTTTTCCAGATCATGTATGAGCAGGTTGATTGGCATTTGTCCCAGTACAGATTCTTGGGTGATCCCCCTATTCGCCGTTCTCCACTATGAAAACTGACTGTTTATTCTTACTCTTTGGTTCCTATCTTTTAACCAGTTACCCATGAGAGGACCTTCCCTCTACCCCATGACTGCTTACTTTGCTTAAGACCCTTGGGCGAGGGACCTTGTCAAAGGCTTTCTGAAAGTCCAAGTATACTATATCCACTGGATCACTTTGTCCACATGTTTGTTGACCCTTCTCAAAAGAATTGCAAGAGATTGGTAGGGCATGATTTTCCTTTACAAAAGCCATATTGACTCTTCCCCACCATATCACGTTCATCTATCTGATCATTCTGTTCTTTACCACAGTTTCAACCAGTTTGCCTGGTACTGAAGTTACACTTAGCAGCCTGTAATTGCCAGGATTACCTCTGGCACCTTTTTTAAGCAAATGAAATAACATTCATTATCTTCCAGTCCTATGGTACAGAGGACAATTTAAGTGATAGTTCTGCAATTTCATATTTGAGTTCCTTCAGAACTCTTGGGGAATACCATCTGGTCCTGGTGAGACTTATTTCTCCTAGCACTCCAGCTGTGCTAACCTGATGCAGGGAAGGAACCTCTGCTAAGAAGTCAGTTTGTTTCAATACTGCAGGGACATCTGCTCATGTACTGCTTTTTTAAATCAGGATAGAAGAAGTAGTGAAATAACTAATACAGGTACAGTTGCTATCTGCTTCTCATTCCCCTGTTCAGCTAGGCAGAGGGGGCCCTGCAGAACAGTTTACGTGCACCAGGATGTCCCATAAATCCTCCATAGAGATCTCTAGGAAACTTTCCTGGAGGTAATCTGAAATCCTCTGCTAAAGGTTTCTTGGGAGGGCTGCCTTGTTTCTTCCCCCCATGGTAGGACACTGCCATGCTATTCAGTGAATTACTTCAGCAGGCACTATTGCTAGAGCCCTGCGTGGATACAAAAAGGTGTATCCGCATCCAATCCACAATCCGCCAAAATTGTCTGTGGATTTGCAGGGCTCGAACTGGCTCCACAGGTCACTATGCCGCAGTGACGCAGGGCTGTGTCAAGCCCCCAACCACCACATTTCTCCCCAGAGACCTCCTGCCCTGCCCCCCACTCCGCCCCTGCCATACCTCCTTCTCCACTTCAGGCAGGGAGACTAAAATTCTGGGCCCTTCTATGCAGTGCCACCCTCTCCATGGGGGGCTCGGACACGCCTACACAGTTGCGGCATCTCTAATGCACGCAACCATTGCTGCCTGGCTCCTTTAAAGAGCAATCCCTCCTTCAAAATGGTGCTTGGCTC